CCCCCCCCCATCTGATTGTTATTTGTAAAACATCAAACTCCTTTAGTCTTCCAATGGAAAAAGAAAAAAAAAGCATTTAATCCTGGGGGTCTGTCAGGAGAGACAAAAGCATATATAACCCTTATGTTAAAGATATTTTGAGGCAAACTGTAGAGTTTGGAGAGCAAATAAGAAGTCTTATTGCAAATCAGATAATTTACTTAATAGAAAAATAGACCAATTGCTGTCACTAGACTCTTAACCTTTTAGGGAGGCGAGTTACCAATTATGCCTAAATTATTCTCCCTTGACTAGAAGCTTGCTTCTAGTAGAATAGAAGCTTCCTTCCTGCCTCCTCATTCCTAAGGAATGATGATCTTGATAGTTTGTTACTTTTATTTCTGTACAACAGTCCAGATTCTTTCTGGGGAAATACAGCAAGGATCTGCTGAATGATGTCCCAGCGGCTCACCCAAATATGATTATAGGTTGCTCATCAGTAGGATGCAGTCGTTCAGCAGAAGAGGGTTCAAGATACTGAGCCTCTGGTTCACGTAAATATTCACACTGTATCCGCTCCAAGAGATAAGCTGGTATCATTCCCCTTTAGAAACAGATCGTGGTGCCTCTCGCCACAGAGTGGGAGACCTTGAAGATGGTTTTAACTTACCACAAAAGTTTAACCTAGGCTGGGATCAGGTAGCTTCACACCCCTCCGACCCCTTCGTGAGCCTCCTCCTTTCCTCCCATTTCGTGCCTTCTGAGCCAGTGCTGTAGCGCCGCCATAGTTACCCCAAGTGGTGATCAATATAGTGGCCGCTGCGGCTCTTGGAGGAGTCAGAGTTTAGCAGTCGTTTGGTAGCTCCTGGCAAAGCAGCTGGCTGTTTGTTTGCGGAGTATTTTTTTTTCCTCCAGCAATTGTAAACAATCCCTTCCCTACTTAGCATGAGAAGTCTGCCAACTTCTTAAAAGCAGTTGGCCTTCTTGGACCTAGGTCTGGAGTCTCAAATATCCCCACTGTTTTTAGTCTTGGTCATGTTTCTCTGTGATGTAAGGTTTGGGCTGACCGCCTGCCTACACAGGTGAATGCCTCTCCTGTTAGGAGAAAACAAAAGGCCCACGGCCCTTTCCAAAGGGGGAGGGGAGGTAATAAAACAGAGGACAACAGAGGCCTGCTACACTTCTCTAATTCCACGTTCAATTCTGTGAGCTGCCTGAACAAGAGTGGGGAATGAAGGGTACATTTGGTGTGTTCCGACCTGGGGAGAGTGTTTACAGTTGACCACAGCCCGTCTGGACAGCACGCCTTCTCTGGACTCTGCTGGCCATTCTATGTTCTGGGCCCTGTCCCCTTCCAACAGCAGAACCTTACAAAGCCCATCCCAGCCATGAACAGAGATCATGGCAGGCTTTAGGATAAGTTTAAAGCAGTACCCCTCATTTAAAAGGGGTACTTGCATAAGACAGCAGAGGAATGACCAGTTTAAATGTGGGTGGGCAGATGAAAAGTTCAGGGAAAGCGCTTGGCATGAATTGGGGGTGGTCCAAGAATGCTTCAAGGAAGTGGTAGTTGAGGTACCTCCAAGCCTCACCAACAACCCTCCAGCTTCCCCCACCCCCAGAATGAGTCATCTCAGCGATCTGAGCCTCAGGCCACTCTTCTCCAAGTCTACAGGCCTGCAGCTGAAAACTCCAAAGTTGCTCTGCACATAGCTGAGGCTGAACCAGGAAGCAGGAAGCTTGGTGCCCTGGACGAGTAGTGCAGAAGACAAAAATAATAGGTCAAATTTTTATGAGTGCTTACTGTGTGCAAGGCACTGTTCTACAAGCTTCATATAGTAGGCTGTTTGTTTCACCAGAACAATCTGGGTAGGGAGTCTGACGATTTGCGTCTGTATTGGAGCAAATTAGCATAGAAATCTCACCAGCTTTAATCCACCACCAAACCCTTTAGGCCCTCCATAGCTTTCTTAACTGGCCTGTGATTGCGGAACAAAATGAGAAATAGGCCCTTCCCCCCACCGGTGCCCTTATCTCCTCTGCCCAAATGGTCTTATTTTGAAATCTTTCCATCATTTCTAAAGTTGTCTTTAAATATCTAGGTACGTGTATATTGATAGTATAAGGCTGGGAGAGGTCTTTTTTCTTATTCTGTGCCTGTGCCTATAAAAATCAAGATTAGTGGGGCGCCTGGGTGGCGCAGTCGGTTAAGCGTCCGACTTCAGCCAGGTCACGATCTTGCACTCCGCGAGTTCGAGCCCCGCGTCGGGCTCTGGTCTGATGGCTCAGAGCCTGGAGCCTGCTTCCGATTCTGTGTCTCCCTCTCTCTCTGCCCCTCCCCCGTTCATGCTCTGTCTCTCTCTCTGTCTCAGAAATAAATGTTAAAAAAAAAAAATTTAAAAAAAAAAAAATAAAAAAAAAAAAAAAATCAAGATTAGTAAAAACTAACCACCAAATGGCAACTTCAGTGGCTATTCTTGAATTTAATGAGGTAATTAGCATCCTTAAATAGTTCTACTTAAAAAAAAAAAAAAAAAAAAAAAAAAAAAAAAAAAAAATCAAGATTAGTAAAAACTAACCACCAAATGGCAACTTCAGTGGCTATTCTTGAATTTAATGAGGTAATTAGCATCCTTAAATAGTTCTACTTAAAAAAAAAAAAGTTAAATGTCATGGTTCCTAAATGGTGGTGGCTTTTCTTGTTAAAAATTTCAGTTGTAATTTTCTCTTGGCTTTGCATTTCCTTGAAATGGATGGACATAATTGAACTCTCAGAATAACCTCTGAGTATGTTATTGCTTGAAAGAAAAGCTACAAGCAGACAACACAAATAAACCTCCTAGCCCTTCTTCCTTCCAGGCCCCACCTCCGAAGTCCAAAACCTAATAATCAAGAGAAAAATGCAGGGTTTGTCTTTGGTTGAAGCGTTTCTACATTCTACAGTGGGAGAACATCATCAATGATGTCAAATTCTTCTTCAACTAACTTTGGAAATGAGTCGCTCGGGCTTAAAGCAGATTATTGTCATTTCTATGAGGAAAGCAGGTGCTCAAATTCCTTTGAGTAATGTTCTCAATTAGAAGAGAGTAAGGTGAACTGTAAATATTTAAAATCTCTGGGGAATGGCCACAATCTAAGGTCCAGGCTCTGGAAACTTTCTGCCAAACCTCAAAAGTGTGACTGAGAATAAGACCGCTTCATTTTATGGTTCTCTACAGGTGGAATTTAAGCTCTAGGTTTTCGTTCATGGTGTAGGAGTGTGTTTTCTTTAAAAATAAGCCTTCGTGTGGTGTTTTTACATGAAAAACGTTCTTAACTTTGCTTTCTAAAGGCTGTTCTCAGCTTTGGTACACCATGGACCAGTCAAGTAACCTTCCATGTTTTCCCCTTCTCAACTTTGATTGAAATTCTTAAGTTGGCTTTAAGGACTCAGAGTCCAGCGCTCCCTTGTTCTCTCTTTTCTTGCTGACCTTGGAGCAGATCACTGACCAGTCGGTGGTTTTGTACACTACTGTCATGCAAGTAGACAAACACACACTCATGCGTGACACAGAGCCTGGCCCCAAACATTCACCCTTGGCTCGTTTAAGAAACTGTCTCTAAGAGAAGACATTTCTGCAGTAATCTCTATGAAACCTAAAAATATCCAGTTTCCCCAAATGAAAAGAAGGCTAGAGATGTGATGTTAGAAATCTCAATAAGTGGTATTAAACATGGCCTTACAAGGGCAGATTAACAAATGATAGATTATCCATCAAGCTTATTCCTCTGGGTCCAGAAACACTGAGCACGTTGTCGGTGATATCATGTGTAAGCATTTATGTAGCAAGATACTTATTGTACTTATCGAAGTGCTACTTGAGACGATTGTAGCAACAGGATACTGGAAATTGTTTCAAACCCTCTTTTCTCTTGTACCATTTACATAATGTCTGTGGAATAGAGAAGTGCAGGTGTGCCTCATTTTATCCAACAGATGTATGTCCAAAGAGGATGTAAAGCAAACCACATTTTAAATTCAGCAAAGGAACTCAGAAAATTAAAGAGCTCTGATATATCGGTGATACAAGAAGAAGCCCCTGATTTATGTTTTACTAGTGGGAATTCTAAATCCTGCCTTGTACATACATCCCCATGGGGCTTGGGGGATCTACTCACTATACTTCAATATTTCTCCAGCATCCTTTTAATGAAAACTCTTCAGAGATTTACTGTGAAGTTATGTGGTATCGCAGAATAGAATTCAGCTCCCCAAAATAATAGCTCAGCCTACTGGCAGAAATATGCACCTGACCCAAGTTGAACCTGTGCGTCCTTCAGGGACCTGTGAATTGGGCAGTTCTGTTTTTTCAGCCCTTATAAATTTATGAATTGTGAAATCAGCTGGTTTCATTTAGGACCCAAGGTCTTCACCTCGCAGCATGATGCTGAGCGTTAGTCACGGAATTCCATGAAATCTAAACAATTAGCACTGTATGCTCAACGTCTCCTAGAAATGGAGTGTGTAAGTCAGATTTTTGTTAATGTGATCATGTTTCAAAGGCATGATGGAAGCATGCTAGTTAAAAGAAGCTTGGGTACACTTTAAATGGGTGGATTGTATGGTATGTGAATTATATCTCCATAAAGACTTTTTTTTTTTTTCTTAGAAAGCAGCTTAGGGTGGATGCTTTCGCAAAATGAAGGCATTGTGTACCACAGTGATAGCAGTAATCATCCCTCTCCCTCCCCCCTGAAGTCGTCATTTTTGCTTAAAGTAATATTGTAGTGCCCGGCATTGCCTTTAGTTAAAGGGTAAAGGGCTGTGTGTCAAACACAATGGCAGGCACTGTTGGGAATTCAAAAGCAGTAGAAGCCCCCATCCCTGCCTTCCACAGAGATGTGACAATATTTCATCTCCAAAGAGGGAGGTCTGTGCCTGAACAGACTTCTTTTGAGGGGGTTATTGTTTTGTTTGAGAAGATGTATGTTTGTGTTTTATAACCCGGTAAGTTATTTATAGAAACAGCTCTTATTAAAGTATAGCTGCTATAGCTCATCCCCTCTCCTGTTATTCCTAGTTATTGCAACAAGGAAGTATACGATAAGGAGAATCTTTTCAACAGCCTGAACTATGATGTTGCAGCCAAGAAGAGAAAGAAGGACATGCTGAATAGCAAAACCAAAACCCAGTGTAAGCCATTTGTTTTGAACTTAAAAGAAAGCTGTTTGAAGATCGCTAGGATTGATTCTTTGCGGGGGGAGGGGAGAAAATCAGACCTCGAGTGTTAGACATCTGCTTTAATGTTTACTGTGTCATTGACAGAGGTCTTTGGGAACTTTGCACTCAGAAACCCGGCCGTGCATTTTACAAACAAGATCAATGTGTTCTTTATAGTCTTGTTTATAAGTCAGTTGCTACTCAGAGTGGGGTTTTTTCCCCGCACTTGTCACTAATATTTGACGTAGTTAATTTAGTTATTATACAGTGATATGGTCAGCTGAATCAGTTCCAGCATGTGCTTTTATTTGGCACTGTGTTGTGAGGCTTTGAAAATAGATTTGTTTCTCCCTCTTTCCTTGTCTAAATACTACTACATTTCTAGATGCTGGGTGTAAGAGTATAAAGTTCTAGAAATAAGCCAGAATCACAGATCTTTAGTTTAATCCACCCATACTACATGATCTCTTCATGTTATCTGCTTTATTTCTACTTTTTATGGCCTTGTATAAGTTGTAGGTTTGACATTTAAAACAAACTTGTACTTGGGTATTTGATTTTTTTCAATTTGGAGCTTTGGTATACTAAATCTGATGATCAAAGATTTGGAGAGCTTCAGACCTGGTAAGCATAACTCCGATATGTATACACTGCAGAAATTAGGCATTTGCATTTCTTGGATTGTCAGTAGAGTCTCTGTCTTTTTTTGTTAAAACTTTTTTAACACTTTGGAGTATATGAAAAAGAAACAAGTTTAAAATTTGGGGCATGTTGCAAATCGTAAAGCTGTGGGTTTTTTTTTTTTTAATTTTTTATTTATTTATTTATTTTTTGCCTCTGTAGATTTCCACCAAGAAAAATGGATTTATGTTCACAAAGGAAGTACTAAAGAGGTGAGCATCCATCTGTTCCTTAAAGCGTATGCTTAGCTTTATGCCTCTCCCAACAGGAAAGGGAGGGAAAGTGGGCAAGAATATGACTTCAAATCATGGCTGGGTGTGGGGGGTAGTGGCTAGCAGCTCACCACCTACCCAACCATCAGAGAGAGTGAGAAGCCAAAGTCACTAGGTGGACTCCCCAGTCATTCAGTGAGATCACGTATGTAAAAGTGCTTTATAAAGATTAGTATACCCATCTCAAATGTGTTGTTATAAAGCCTTGGCCTTGCCCCGAGAACAGTGCCTCTTTCTTGTTCTGAGATCTCTTCAGACTCCAACTTTAAGTTTTAGCCCTGGAGGGGCTAATCACTAAACACAGCAGAAGTTTTCATGTCTGCTCAGTATGAGACACTGAGCTAGACCTAGAAGGGGACAAGGCACTGTAACAACTACATTTGTGTGGCACTTTATAAAACCCTTTTATGTACATCTTCTCCCTGCACAGGCATCTGCTCAGATATCTAGGTTATCAGGCAGTGTGGTAGAACGATGGAATTTCTACCACTGTCAGGGACCTTGGTGAATACCTAAGTCCCTCTGCGGTTTGGGGCCCCACGGAGGTCAAGGGCACACCCGCCATTATCCAGATACTCAGAGCAGAGCTGAGACTGTGAGTCAGGGCTCTCTGCTCCCAGTGCTTGTGCGTTCATAGGTAAAAAATCAAAAGTTCTTTTGCCTCCTCATGACGCCTTAAAAAAAAAAAAAAACAAAAATGTTTCTGATGATCCCACTGAGAAGAGCAGTAAAGACGCAAGGCAAGGTAGCAGGCAGGGTTGACACAAGGAAGTCTAATTCTCCTCCCAGGAGATGCTACAGTGACCAGCTATCTTCGTCTCCCATCCTGTGTCCAACTCCTGACCTTTCCCAGATAAGCAACTACTTAGGATTTTTCCCATTCAAGTTCATGCGGAGAACAAGGGTCCAAATGGTGCAAGTCATGAAGGGGGGTGTTTAACATGTGAGTCACAGACTAAAGCAGCTGCTAGCTGCACTGTCCGTCTTTGTGGCTCGCAGGGGGCTCCCAGAAAGAGCTTATCATGGCCCAGGAAAACAGCATATGGCCACAGGTTACCTAAGACAGGCATCCAGCTTGCCAGTAGAGTCCAGGTGGACCGTTCTGGAGAATGACCTCTGTGCCCCCCGTTTTCACATTCAGCGCCATGGATATTGCACTCTGGGGGAAGCTTTCAACAGGCTGGACTTCTCAACTGCCATTCTGGACTCCAGAAGATTTAACTACGTCGTACGGGTAAGTCTCTATAGGTTCCCAGGGTCTCAGTTGAATTATCTTTTTCAGGTTCTCTTGAGATAGTTCCCCGCCCCCAAAGAATAACTCTGTAGGACACTGGGAATTTTGAGGAAAGCAGAAAACAGACTTCTCAACTCCCTTCTGTCCAGATGTACTTCGAGTCCTTACGTGGATCCCGTGAGGATGTCCCTGAGATTGGCCGTGACAGACAGGAACGGCCATAGTCCTCATGTGAGCCACTTCCCGCCCCCCACCATAAATGGGAACACACTGCAGGCAGCAAGGGCTCTGGCAGCCACATTAGCAAGAGAGAATTCAGTAGTAAGAAAGCCAAAAAACACCATGGCTTATTTTAAAACCTTCTGTACCTCTGATTGTTCTCACTGTCCTCCTCCTTGTCCTGTTTTAGCACACTCTAGGTGACCCCACGGCATTCTTGGTTTAGGCTACAACACCAGACAAGTTCAAAGCACCTCAGTGCATCTTTCCCGTGACTCCCTCCCACCCCACGTTCAGTCTCTTGTTCACCTAAAGCGTGAAACTAACTACCTGTTCAGGTCCGTTGCTTTCCATTTGAAACCCCATGTCGGGGAAAAAAAAATTTTAAGGAGCTTTGGCAAGATATTAATGATGAAGGTAGTAAAGCAAATAAGTCTAAACATGCCCTCCAAATCAGTGATTCTTTTTAATTGGTTTATTGTTGTTGTTCCCCCCCCC